CGGTGGCGCGCGGCACGTGGTGGTGGGCCCGGTGGCACGCGGGAGCCCGAGCCCCTTGGAGCGCCCCCTGCTGCCGGGCTCGGGCCATGCCCGCGCCTTGTGGCCGCTCTCCCTGAATCCCTGTGAGGAAAGGCTGAGAGAGTTGGGCCTGTTCAGCCTCGAGAAGAGACGACTGAGAGGGGGACTCATCAATGTGTATAAATAGCTAAAGGGAGGATGTCATGAGGATGGAGCCAGGCTCTTCTCGGTGGCGCCAAGCAATAAGACAAGAGACAATGGACAGAAAATGATGTGCAGAAGTTCTGCTTGGTTGTGAGGAAGAACTTCTTCACTGTGCAGGCGACCGAGCACTGGGAGAGATTGTCCTGAGAGGTTATGGAGTCTCCCTCGCTGGAAATGCTGAAGAACCATCTGGACACAATCCCTTGCCAGGTGCTCCAGGATGACCCTGCCTGAGCAGGGAGGTGGGACCAGAGGGACTCCCTGTGGTCCCTTCCAGCCTGACCTATTCTGTGATTCTGTAGGACTTCTATGTGCTCTGCTTTCCAATGCCATTTCCTGCTGTTCTTTGAGTGCACTCGTGTGGTAGAGCTGTCCTGACTGGCCTGCATGCTTCTGTACAGGGCACTGCAGTGCATCTGCTGCTGTGTGTGCTCGGCCTGGCTCTTGCTGAAGGGCAGATCTCAGCATGGCTCCGTGGTTGGACACAGCTCCCATGTCACAGGACCTAAATGTCAAGGTCTGAGCCGTGATTATTTAAAGGGACCTGGGGGTCCTGGTCAATGGCAAGTTGAACATGAGCCAGCAGTGCCCTGGCAGCCAGGAGGGCCAGCCCTGTCCTGGGGGGCATCAGGCACAGCATCACAGCTGGGCAAGGGAGGGGATTGTCCCACTCTGCTCTGAGCTGGGGCGGCCTCAGCTCAAGTCCTTTGGGCAGTTTTAGGCAAAACAGTGTAAGAAAGATGTAAAGCTATTGGAGAGCATCTAAAGAAGGACTATGAAGCTGATGAAGGATGTAGGGGGGAAGCCCTATGAGGAGCAGCTGAGGCGTATCCAGTCTGGAGAAGAGGAGGCTGAGGGGAAACTTCACTGAAGTCTACAACTTCCTCTTGCTTATTAATTTGGTCATGTTAAGCAGCTCTTAAGGCAGCCTGGGAGCCAGTAGATGGCACTCATTCCCCTTGGCATTTAACCATTTGAGGACCAAAGATCCTTGCTTGTTGGAACTGTGGCATGCCATATAGAATTGAAGACTTAAGTCCCAGTTACTGCATTCATCAAAAATGCTAAACTCATATAAAAAGAGCAAAAGAAAGAGCAAAGAATCACACATTCCTAGCAATTTGGAATACTGTCTACCTTTCTCCAGGCAGCCCCAGGTCTGTACCATCTTTTACTGATTCGTACCAGTCTGTTTCCTCTGGCTATGTTCTGGGTTGGCATGGTTCAGTTTCAGTTCTAGTTGCTCTTACATGGAGCATGTCATATCATCTCTAAACTTTCCCTAAATTTCTCGCTACACAGGCAGTGCAGAGAGCAGGAGACATGTCAGTTCATGGTATATAAAGTGGAGATAAGAATGTTGAAAGATTGCCAAGATCAAAAGATTCTTTCAGTTGAACTGATGTGACTTTGAGTTTATCTGCGTACGGCAGGAAAGCCCTACTGTTGTCTCCAGCTACCAAGGCCTCATGGTTTCTAATAGAGCAATGCTTGGCTTACTTTTTCTTTTTAATCTGCAAGGATAGCTTTGTCTCTGTACCAGCTCTCTGCAGGCATTCTATCCCTTGCAGGCAAGGCTGTGCTCTGGCCAGAGACCTGGAAAGTTGTTCATCATCATGCTGCTGACAAGAAAAAATAGTCAAGTACTGAATGTCATTTGATACCCTTCACAGACTTTCATGAGTAGTGATAGGAATGTGTCAATGTTATGAATCTTCTTGATGATCAAACTTGAAAATAATGACTGCTTAGAAGTCTTCACTTAAAAATATACGAAGATCCCATTTATCAGTGTGAGACATCATTTATATCAGATATGTATAAAACTTAGAGTGTAGGCCTTTAAAATCTTAAGAAAAGCTGAAGGTATTTAAGAAAAATTAAAGGTCTGAAGTGAGATTAGAAGGTGTGATTACTCAGCCTGAGAACATATTTCATCTGTCTTCATGGAGTAAGATCATTGAGTACTGCTACTTCACTGTAGCATTAAGAGAGAAGTGAAAAATTCATAGAAAGGTTGTATGTTGATAGTCAAAGTGAGGCCAATGGGCATCATCTAGATAATTTATTTTGTTAAAAAGAATTTGTGTTTCATTCCCATTTTCAAGTAGTACCTGGAAATACTGACACCTTAAGGAAAAAAACAGACAACAACCTAACATTTGTTCCATATGGTAAGTAAAATAGAGGGTCCTGGAAAATTGGGAGCAAGCAGAACATTGTCAAGATCATCACTGTTTCATACTGACCTACAGACTTTCCCCAATACTATTTTAAAGTTATCCTTGATACATTAATAAATCTGCATCTAAAAGATCTTTGTCATTCTCAGGACAACCCTGTCATTCAGCACTTTTTGGAACATTATCTCAAGGTTGAAGAAGCTGAGTTCTCCCAACAGCAACTTCTATCTAGCCCTACGTTTATTTTAGGATGTGTTTAACCTGATCTGGGTGTGATTTTGAGGTGGAAGATTTAAATTTGAATGCTTAAGCAAAATACCATGATTTTGTATTCTGTTATTAATTTGTTGAAGAGAAGAATGAATTTTTTCCAGAGGCAAATACAAAAAACTTCCATTAAGGAACATGTGTTTCCAGCCCACAATATTAGAGTACAATTTTGGAAATTGAGCCTAATGTTGCTTTAGTTTAGTTCCCACAGCATTTGTTACTGCTCTTAAAATAATTAAAAGTTTCTTTGAGCTCCGTATTGTAATTTTATTGTGGGCAAGCATTAAAGACCTCACAAGTGTTGTTTTCCACTCTGGGAATAAATTTGCAATGGATATTGAAGGAACTAAAGAAACTTTCTTCTATAAAACATAGAAGTCCACACAGTACACTTGGGTTGGAAAGGTCATGTCTTTTCTTAAAAGCTCTGCAAGGTGGCTAACTGCCATGAATTCCCCAAGTTCTGTAACTTCTTTTAAAATCTGTTTCATTTAATTAAGACCATTTTCAGCTGAAGCCTAGCCCCAGACCTCTGGCATTGCACATTCCTTCTTGCTGGAGATTCACATGTAGTGGATGATGAACCATTTTCTCATCCTGCATATACTTTGCTGTGGAAGTAGCATTACAGAAGGCAGATGGACCTCTTCAATATGCTTTTTGCTTTCTTTGTGTGATAAGTGAGGAGCGACAGGGGAGAGTGTGGGCATGTTAGGATTGCCTCCAATGAGGTGATGCTTGGCCCTCACTTTGCATCTCATGGGTCTGGGTTTAGTCCTAATCTGTGAATGTACTGATGTGTTCCCTATTCTGAGTGAGAAGCGATGGTGGAAGTATGCCTACGTGGCTCCTTCTACAGAAGGTTTTTGGTAATTATTGAGACCCTTAAAATTTAATTGATCTGTAAATAATACAGCAAATGTGCACTGAATATATTACAGTATATTAGAAACCTACCGTTAAGAACAGTAAAGAAAAACTACTATTCAAATAATGCTGCTACTACAGTAATAATGCTGGGGCATGGGGTGGGACACACGTTTGGCTAACCTGAAATAAATAAACTCTCTGAAGTGCAATGAATACAGAAAGAAATCAGCAAATTTCACTTACTCAGAAATAGAAGGAAAATCATGGAAACATTTTTAAAATTTGGTTTTCAATTTCATATATGTTGTTACGTTTAAAAATAAAATGTTAAAAATGTTCCACACCATAACAAAGGAAAATAAATTACTCATGGCAATATATAGAGCACAGTCAGGATCCCCCTTGTGTTTTGTAATAAGAAAGCCAAATTGCCTGAGCAGCGCACACTTCATTTAGCTTTTCTGCAATTAAAAAATAATTGAAGAGCTCTTTTATTGCAGCAAGGCAGAGAGACAAAATGCTTTGAATGCAAAGCATTTGTGTGGTATGGTAAAGAATCTGTCAAGAGTACAAAGATCATCCTGGAAAATAACATATGCTAATTTTACCTAACTCTATTTACAGACCAACTCATTACTGGAAAATGCATTATACATGGAAAAAAATTATAAAACAATATTTTTAATTTGCCTTCTGAAATGGAATACATCTGAAACTGGGCTGTTTTTCAGTTGTTTTTCAGTCTACTATGACACTTGGCTGCATCCCTAATAAAGAAAATCCCTGAAAGCATCATAGCTAATGTGTTTTATTATTTAAGGGTGCAATTGGGATTAAGGGCGCTCTCACAAGAGTCTTTAATTTGCCTATGAACCTATGCAAATGGATCTGTGTGCATATGGAAGCTATGTAAGTGTTGTTACAATTTGCTGTATATGTAGTCCAGCAAAAAATTGTAGCTTAATTTTGCCAAACTCCAAACCCTGGAGAAAAGGATACTATAATAAGACTGTTTCATTGATATTTCTAATGCACAGAGATTTGCAAATCTCCTGATTCCTGATGAGGTTCTCATGGTAGTTTTAGGTCAGGGTGAAGCTTTGTTCTTCAGTGTGTATTTCTACTTTCTGTCATATCCTATGGCTTCCTCTTCAAAAATTCTTTTTGTTTCTACAAGTCCCATCCCAAAATATTTTTATTTAAAAATAAGTAATGTTTTATTGTTAGAGAGATGAGTCCAAAAAGTCATGTTCATATACTTTAGAAACTTTATCCTTCAGAGACAGAAGGTGTTTTCTCAAATATTTCTATATTGTATTGGGCACACATTTGTGAGCACTGTTTGCAAGCTGACTATCTTTGATGAACAAAGTAAGAGTTATGTCTTTTGAGTAGTGTTTTATAAAAGGCTGATAAACATGCGGTTTGAATTAACATATCAGTACTTCTTTTTGGTTACATACAATACAACTGAGACTTTAAAATGTATGTTACTTTCCTTAAATGTTTTGGATTGCTTTGATCAAAAAGAATCTCATGTACTACACTATGAAGATGGTTGTACTACCTTTTGAAGATTTTTTTTTTTCTTTTAATTTGCCTTTGCTAATTGGTTTTTGTGGGTTTTTTTAAGATAGCTAAGCAAACTTTTAAGTTATGAAATTGAAAGATTTTTTTTAAACAACAGACAAGCATAGTCAAATCTTCTTAAATATTTGATTAGTCAAACAGTTCCTAAAGTAATACCCATTTAAATTTGCTAGAATATACTCTTGCATATACTAGATATGCTTTTAACATCACTTTTTAGGGGAGCACAGTATCTGTTGGACTTTTGTATGTCAGTATCAAACACTCATAATGTTCCTTAAATTTGCCAAATTGGAAGAAGATGTGTAAATAGAATTTATGGTGTGAAGCTTGACTTTTTTCTTCTTAACATAATCTGAAAGTAGCTTTTAATCAAAGTGGTGTCTATTTTTTCAAGAAAAAATACCAGTTACTTGTTTCTGATACCAATTACATATTTAAGACAGAAGTTAAAAATGGCTGAAAGCATAGAGAAATCCAGTTACCTCTTTTTACTGCTTTTGTGGTGAGGCACTTCTTTGAGGAAGTCCAAAGAAGATGAAAAAGTTCAGGTATGTTAAAGACAGTGCCACCTTCACTCATGCTCCCCAGGCCACTGACTACAGCTGTGCAGAACAGCAGTGGGGAATGAGATGTGAGCACCAGGATTGTAGTTCATGCTAAACTGCCTGATTAAAATCTTAAAAGTAAGTGTGCAAGCAGTTCTCCATAGCTGAGCTGCTCATACCAATCTTCTCTCAAAGTGATTATCAGTGTCCACAAAGTTACATCCCTTTAACTAGCTGAAACTATCTAGTGAAACATATGTGTATTTAAACTGCATCAATCCTTGCTAGCACTGATTTTGCTGAAGTCAGGCCTTAGTCACTGGTTTCCTTCCTGGGCGTTTAAGTGTCAGATGTTTTGGTTGTATAGCTGGAAAAAATAATGAAAAAGCCAGATATGGAAAAAATTCTTTCTAGAGGGCATATTAGTTCTGTGGTATACTAATGGTATAGCAGCCATTATCCAATTAGTCTGTAGCAGTACACACACAAATCTTTTGCAGCAAAGGTGGTTTGTAGGTCTCACAAATCCCTGGATGAACTCACACTGGCTAGGTCACTGGCTGGGTAAGCACAGAGGACTTTTCCTTCTTGCAGCAGACTCAGATAGAAATAAAGTATATTAGGAATATAACATATATGAAGAACAGGGCTCTCATCTAAGTCTAGAAGACAGAAATACTAAATTCAGCATAATTTTCACAGCTGCAGAGAAGGTTTGGTATTTGCCTGCCAGAACCTGTGGAGCAGAAGATACTGCTATTTGTGTACTCATTCGTAGCAGTCCCTATATATATCTGCGGTAAATTTCTGTATTGTTGGTTTTGCCTGGATCGTTGGTCTGATAAATTTTCATTATCTAAAATCCATGTCAGCTGTCAGTGAAAATTTTTCAATACCTCTTAACAGCAAATTTTTGGATCATTGTTTGATTTGGATTCTCTGATTGAAAATACCATTCTTTACTCAGAAAGATTTTTGGCCCTGGTAAAAAATGTTCTGTTGCAGGAGGATTTGAGAGCATAATGAAACTGGGTGTATGTAGAATAACCTTCATCTAACCTTTATGACACCCATGGTGTTGAATAATATTATTTTGTATGGACTTGTCCAGTGCTTGTGTGAATAAACCTATTAAAAAAAATTGCACTTGTCTGATGCTACATCAACCCAGAGATTTGGCATATGCAAATTACCACCTATAAGAATATCTGCTCATGATTTCCCAGCAGAAAGAAATGAAGCAAGACACTGCCTCTAATTAAAGTAGCAATTTCTTTTTCCCTCTATTAAATCTTATAACTGTGGTCTTGTGTTAATTATATCCTTTTTCCATCTCATTCTCTTTATTTTTAGACTTACCAAACTCTTGGTTAACTGAGCGAGTTTTTTAATTCATTACCTCTAACTTGTGTACTGTAATACACAGTATTGTCTTATTGAAATGAGTTAAGTTTTTCCTTAAGCTGGACCAAGAAACACTGATTAGAGGTTGCAGCATTCCCTAGATGCTCTATTCAGTTTATGCATTTATTTGCATAAACTGAATTTTTTTTTTACTTTGATGTTAGACTTCTGAGTCAATTTGCTCATGAAATTCTGCATTCTCAGATTCTCCAAAAACCATTCTGTTAAATAGCAAGGCAGTGTTAACTTTGGACACTGTTCTGGTTTTGCCTGGTTTAATTTTCTTCCCAGTAGCTGGTAGAGTGCTGTGTTTTGGATTCAGAATGAGAATAATGTTGATAAGACACAGATGTTTTATTTGTTGCTGTTAGTGCTTATCCCAAGTCGAGGACTTTTCAGTTTCCCATGCTCAGCCAGCCAGCAGGTGCACAAGGAGCTGAGAGGAAGCACAGCCAGGACAGCTGACCCAAACTGGCCTAAGGGATATTCCATAGCCCATAGAGTGTCATGCCCAGTAAATGAACTGCGGACAGCTGCTGAGGAGAGGCCGATCACTGGTCAGAGATGGAATGGGCATTGGTCAGTGGGTGGTGAGAAATTGTGCTGTGCAGCACTTCTTTCTCTTTCTTCTCTCTCTTACTATCTTCCATTTCATTAATATTATTATATTTTACTTTATTTCAATTATGAAACTATTCTTTTCACCACCCATGGGTTTACCTTCTTCTGAGTCTCCTCCTCACCCTATTGCAGGGTGAGTGAGCAGCAGTGTGGTACTTAGATGGTCTTTGTATGACAGAAAACCAGGTCTCTATAAAATTGAAAAACCTTTGTGTTCTATTCTGGGAGTTTGTCTGTAGGTGTGGGTTGTCTGATGCAGCATTTTTGACTGTTCCAGCATTTCAGAAAGTGGTGTGCCAACATTTCTCTTCTGGTGTTGCACCACCATGCACTCATTAAAATGGAAGTAGAGACAATTTCTGTGACTGTTGTGTTCTCAGCCTGGCAGCTAAGGTGAAGACCAGGGGACCAAGATTAGCTGAGGATGACTTGGAGGAAACAAGTAGCCAGCCTGGAGGATTAGCAGCAGGAGAAAGCTGCCCTGCAGGAGAGCACCCTTCTGCAAGTGCATTTGTTTGAGCTGAAGTGGTGGCTGCTGCTCCTCTGCTGCTCCTCAGCTCTCTGCTAGAAGTTAGTTCCCCCTCAGGTCTGCTAGATGAGCCTTTTGTAAGATTATTTAACCCTTCTGCTCACAATATAACAGCCTTTTATTAGCCCTAACTCAAATTAAGGAGTGATTAGCCAGGCAGGTGAGTCAATAAAGCTGGAAGGGATTGATGACAAACATTTCCCCAGTGGTCTGGGTGAAATAATCTCTCTAACAGACACAGCAGGAACCAGCAGATGTGTTGGAGAAGTGATGGTCTAGTGTCCTACTACTGCTTAGTGGCAACTGACTCTTTGGCTGTAGATCTGTGTGAAAACTACATTCTCAGTATTCTGAATGTATTGGTGTTTACTCAGTGATGGAAAACTGGTTGAAACATCCGGACAATTTAATAGTATGGAAGAACAATGCAACGCCAAAAAGCACTTACTGTCTCCTGTTAAGAAAGAAAAAGGTAGGATAGGAGGATAAAGCATCTCTGAAAATAAGGAAGTGATAGAAGAAATTAATTTTCTTTCTTAAAAATATCCAAAATAACACAAAATACCCAGTAAATGAGCCATGATCAGTTTACCTTTGGCATGATACTGCTGCATTTCTTGAGTCTTGGGAAAGTAGTTTGATTTTTTGCATGTCTGGAGCACAAAATGATAACTAAGTCCATTCCTGCATAATTCATTAGCAATCTTAATCCGAAGCCTGTAAAATCAATAATAAATCTTTCTACTTTATAAGGGAAGTCTGTGTGTCAACTGTAGTGTCAAGGGAGGAGAAGCAATTTTTCTGGATAGATTAAAACTGTATTGAAAATGAAAATGACAAAAAATGCTAGTTTGTATTTATCCAGTTGTACTAAGATGATTGAAAAAATTTATAAACTCTTCTTTCTTTTTTTTCCCCCCCCTAATTCTTATTTTGTGATTTTCAGAAATCCTGCCAGAAACCTGTGGATAAATACATTGAGTATGATCCTGTTATCATCTTGATTAATGCTGTTTTATGCAAAGCACAAGCATACAGGCACATTCTTTTCAATACAAAGATAAATGTAAGTTGCTATGTCCCTACCTTGTGACCTTTTGTGTTAAAAATATATTTAGGGTTGGTAAGTTGATTGTAATAGTTGTAAAACTTTAAAGACTGTCCATCTCCTGTCCTTCCATAGATTTCAGCAAGCTGAACCAGTTATACAGTGAATAGAACACATGGAATCTCAAACTCCCATTGTTACTAAGACAGCTTCTGTTTTCACAGATGTGATGCTGCAGTACCAGCATCTACTCTAACCTGCCTATCACATTAATTGATGCTAAAAGGATGATGTGCTAAATTCCACTGTAAGAGAACAATCTAATTGTAAATTAATTTCCAAATTAAATTACTGTTGGAAAAAATTATTTTTCAAATGAGCAACAGGAGTATAACATACCAAATTAACAATACTATGCCAGTTGAACCTACTTTACTAATTTCTCACAAGTTTCTCCCTGTGTAATTAACCATGCCCTCAAAGCCAGAGCAAAAGATTGTGATTTTCACTTGAATTGTGGTTGATGCAGAATTACATAGTTGGGCTGGCCAGACTGGAGTGTAGAGGTGTAGCTTTTTAGTATTGCATATTTTTACTGTAAGGATTGATTTCCCAGGAGAGGGAAGCTAATCTAGACAAAATCTCTAAGCATAAGTATGTGCTGTGTTCATGTTGGTACCTCTTAGCCAGTCCAGTTTAAGCAGTGTAGATAAATACACCTACCTCATCTTTCAAGCATAAATCTATCTAAATATTTTTAATTAATTTGGTGCTTCTGGAGACTGGTAACGATGTTTTTTGCGAGGCTTCTGGAAGGACTATCTGTGAAAAGTTCATTTATTCAAATAAATTGAGTTGAATTTTAAACTGGCAAAGCCTGTGCATGTATGTGCGGTTGGCATAATTTGCCCCCAATGGAAAAAGTAGAATCCATGCACAGAAATTGTTATGGCTTGTTTAAATCTGTATAAAACCAGAAATCACCTCATATATGCACTGGCTTATAGACTGTATAATGTGGAAACATGCTAACTGTGGGCCTCACAACATAGTTTTTGCAGTCACTTCAGAAGATATTTTAAATAGTTTTGTTTGGTTTATTGCTACCTTTATTTTTGGTGCCTCACCCTTATATGAATTAAGAAATATTTTGGTATAACTACACTACAAGATTCTTCTAATGGAGATTGTCCCAGGGAAAAAGAGAAACAAGGGTACTTAAACCAGTTTGCTGAATGGAGTAGATGCCTTTAAACTGAAATTTCAGATAGTATAATTCTACTAGCTATGACACAATTTTAATTTTTCCTTCCTAGCTGAACAGCCTTCCCAATTTTAAGATAGTATGGATCAGGCCTTAGAAACCACAGTTATATACCTTCTTCTGTGCAGAACTGTTCATGCAGTTTTGTACATGTTGTAATTTGACTATCATGTTAACAGATGATGTGTTAAACTAGTGGCTCAACAAAAGTAATTTCACTTATATTCTAAAGAAAAATAATATGCCTACAGAGTTTGTGTAGAGCTGTTGAAATCTATTTTAAATACTGATTTCATACTAATGCTTTAATTTATGCTGATATAAAACTACTCCTTTTATTATTCTTTCGTTTACCAGATTCATGGGAAGCTCTGCATATTTTGTTTGCTCTGTGAAGCTTATATCAGGTGGTTGCAACTACAGGATTCAAGCCAAAATACAGATCCTGATGACTTAATCAGATATGCCAAAGAATGGGATTTTTATAGAATGTTTGGCATAGCTTCTTTAGGTAAGATTGGTGATATGTATTATATACTCTTTAAACATTGAAGAACTTCAAGCCCATACTGCAAAAATTGATACAGAATGGATGTGATGTCCAACCCAGTAAGGTTACACAATTAGACACATACTCTCCAATTTGCCTGCATTAGTGCAAATGCCTGTTTTGATCCTGATTACAGTTCAGACTGATAGGATCAGCATTTGATATGAAGAGAATGAAAAGTGGCAATATTTAGAAATCTTTGCCTGATACCTATTGACATAGTGTGAAGATCAGCATAGAGATCAACCTTATTTTCATGTTGACTTCAAGGTTCATTACTCAGTAAGGTGATACAACCTTACTAAGGTAAACAATTGGGAAAAGCTGTACATGTTTGGGGTTGTTTTTTTAAACAAATAAGCTAAAATACAGACCAGTGTCATCAACAATAAAGAGTAAATACTTCTGTGCTCTAAGACTACACTTGAAGGCAGGGGAGTGGTTTTGTTCTATGCTAGCTAAAATATTTGAAAGTAGGTTTTTATAATATGTCAGTAAAAATACTGAATTGATTTTTCAGTAGTAACTCATCTATTACAGTTATTGTGGGAGTGTGGGAAACAGTAAAGGTAAGAAGACTTTCAGAAGATGTGAAAATAGGCCTCAGAAAAGAAAAAGCATTATTGACAGCATATCACAGGTGTGGTGTCAAAAAAAGTCTGGTAGCTCTATGGTATTTTCACCTTGGTGTTCTTTCTCATGCTGGATGAAAAGGGTTCATTGCTGGTGACCTTTTGCAAAGAAGACAAGGATTGATTTTGTTTTACAGCCTAACATACTTTTTATTACTAAAAAGTAAGAGTGAAGAGGTTCTGGAGGTATGGAGTCAGAAATTACAAATATGATAGTCCTGCAGATAGAATCCTGTGATAGAATTATTCTGAATGTCATGGTATTGAATTGGTTTAAGGAATAATTGACCATTAAAATGAACTCAGAAGATAGAGAACGTTTGTATTTGCCTATGGCTTTTAAAAAGTGAGTCAGTTGCCTTTGGGACATGTCATTTTACTGAAATTCATTCATAACTGGACTTGATTTTTGGCATTTTGTTCTCTCTTTCACATGCTCTTATTTCCTTTTAGAACAAACTTCATTTTTCATTGGCATTTTTATTACCTTGTGGTGGGTGACACCTGAGATGCTGAAAAGAAAGTCAGACTTCATTTTACTTCTCAAAGCACTGCTGTTGTCCACCTATGGAAAGCTTCTGCTAATTCCAGCTGTTATTTGGGAGCACGACTACACACCTTTGTGCCTTGCATTTATAAAAGTGTTTGTCTTGATATCAAACTCTCAGGCAATTAGAGGTACATTTTTGCATTTTTTATTACTGCATTTTGTGTATGGAATATGTGTGAGAGACTGCTAATGTTACAGTCACTATCACTGTTATCTTTTTAATCCATATCAGATATGTGACTGAAATAGCTCTAGTTTAAAACTGTGTTTTTAAAACTTTAATAGAAAGTGATTGAAACAAACAAAAAAAAAAAAAAAAAGAAAAAAGTGCCTCTTATCTCACCATCATCTCTTTGTATATACAGTATTATATCCACCAGATCCATCTGGTGCAATTTGAGACAATTCATGGATCATTGAAACATAAAATAGAATTCTTTTGAGTTTATGAAAAATGAAAATTTCATATTAATTTTATTCATATATTTGGAATGCAGACTTAACAAATTTGTGTTATTTCTCATACACACAAATTAATATGAATTTTCACATGATTTCCATGATATTCTTAAATCATACATGATAAGTTTGTTCTGTTTTGTTTTGCAGTTACTTTGAACTTGAACCGAATACTTCCTTGGTTTGCCATCTTCTTTGGATTAATTTTGGAAAATGGCGTGGTCTGCTTGTTCCAGAAAATGGGATGGGATGTTTGAAATGTCAGCCCAGTGAAGAAATGCCAACAAGATGATGATAATTTTCTAAGAATGATCTCTGCCAGCAGGCTCCAATAACACTGTTTTCACTGGGATAAAGAAGGTGATAGATAACAAAAAAATGTTAGAAGTTTGGCTATTTACTGTGCTGAGCCATAAAACTTCAGCCTTAGGTTGTTTATTTTCCCATTAAAAATATGAATGTCTCACTATCCTAACAGTTCTATAAATCTGGCTGCATAGCTGTGGCTGTAAGAACAAAGGTACACTAAAAAAACCCAGCCCTGCTACCAATCAGTGCATTTTGGCAGAGAGAGGAGGATGAATTGTTCCCTTAAGAGGAAGGGAGTCAGTGGAAAAATGTAAAAGCCAAAATTTATATTTCCGCAAAACCAGATTTTCAAAGAGAAAAGTGAACATTTGCAAATAGTTTATTAGAGAAAAGGCCAGTATTCCAGAGTGAAACTACAATGGGAAAACCAAGCTGCATGTTGCTGGAATGTTTGTGTAACGATCCAAAATAATAAAACATCTAGTTCTAGAGTAATCTCTAGGAATGATAGGTTTAAACTGCCTTGAAATTTTACGTGATCTCATAAATACTGCTTTGTTCTGAAAGCAGAAGAAAGAGTGAAAGGACTAATCCCCAACATGCAGGGTTGTTGGGGATACCACTTCTGCATTTAAGTCACATCCCCACACCCAGTCCTCATCTGGCTGTACATTTAGTGGAAGCAAACATTGAGACATGAATCCATTCAGCAACAGAATAGTACTTTAAAAATAAACAAACAACATGTTTAGGCCTAAATTAATGAAGTAACATTGATAGAAGTTCTACACCTTCATCCTCAGCAGGCAAAAGAAGAGCTAAGTAGCCCACAAAGGAACTGACAGGATCAGTTTCCAGAAGACAGTAATAAGGACACAAAACCACTTTTGTGCAGGCCAGTTTCCATTCATTCCATCCAATATTTAACTCTCCTGCTTGAGTTCTGGAAGGCTGTACTGTCCATAGGGATTACTTCCATTCTTTGTTTTCCTCAGATGCTGTCTCATGTCTGTGTTTCCCAGAATGAATGAAAAAACATTTTGCAACATCGTCAAGTTAATTCCCAACACATTTAGAGTAAGTCTAGATTATGACCACAGAAGACATCAAACCTGTTTGTCTGATGGAACTACCCATGCTGTGCTAGTTGATCAGAAAAGCAAATGGTTGCAGATTCCCTTTTATTAAATCAAAGTCTAACAGCACTTCTGTAGTTTGTGTTACACTTTGCAACTTCTTGAGCATGTCAGAGAAAACAAAAAAAAAACCCCAAATTGCAACATTTTTAAGTATGTGAGACTCCTGTTTTGATTGGTAATGAATTAATTTCCCCAAGTTGAGTCTGTTTTGTCCATGACAGTAACTGGTGACTAAACTCTCCCCATCCTTATCTCGACCCATGAACCTTTCCTTTTATTTTCTCTCCAGTGCCTAGCTGGAGAGTGACAGAGAAGCTTTGGTGAGCATCTGATATCCAGACTGTGTCAATCCACCACATCTCTGGATTGTCTCTTCAGAAAAATGTGCATGACTTCTAATGCAAATTTTTATTTTCTAACAATGTAACAACAGTGCTTTGGTTTATTCTTCTTAGGTTATAGATTTTATTTTTTTATATTCATCATATGTGTCATGGTTATCTATACCCCCATCAAAAGAGGATTTTTGGTTTTTTTCAGGTATTTGGTCTGGCACTGATTCCAGTCTAGAAGCTGAGTGGAGCCTATTTAAGTGTAACTAATGCAGGTTATTATATGTGAACACGATGTTGTCAGCAGCTAAATTGTAAATTCAATGTATATAAATTTTATTTGAGGATAGTCTTCTTAAATTAAACTTTATTTTGAATTTTTAAAAAACTGATTTCAGGTATTTTCTGAGTTTTTTCTCAGAACACTAGAATGGACAGGAATACATTGTGAAAGCAGCAGTGTACCTATTGTGTCACCTACACTGACAGCGTATCAGTTTTGCACTCTAATGCTGCCAGGAGCCACCACTGCCCTTACACAACTTTGAAGCAAGAGAAGACTACTAAAAGCTACAGAGCTGTGGAACAAAAGCAGGTGTGGTACAGGTTCTCAGTCTTCAGAGGCATCATTAGTAATGTAAGGCATTCAGCATTGTTTGGTGTTAAAGCTACTCATTTACCAAAAGTAAAATGACAAATACACTAATATTTCATAAATCTAGGGTGAGCTTAAGAGAGAAGCTTTAGAGAGAACCAAGATTACTTTAAGGTTCTGCCTGTTTATCACATCTCTCTTGCTTTTCCTTCTTTTTGTCTTTTGAACTCATATTTTTCCCATTAACTTTTTGTAATGAAACAGTTTCCTGTGCTGGAAGATGGATGGCAAATAGCCCTTTCTGTGTATCATTATTTGTTTCATTAGCTTATAGGAGAGGATTTATTTGAGTTAAAAATACAGCAGCCTGGAAGTGAGCCTATAGAAACTCCTTAAGTTTTGCTTGGAATCAGAAGGGGTATTGTGGCCTGTGGAGCAAATTCAGAACATTGCATGAAATGTACAGAAGAACCAGGGGTGTTATTGAGACTTGGATTGAGCAGTGGCTCAGTGATTGTGCAGTGGGTGCTGGGCACTTCTGTGGGTGCAGAGGCCATGTAGCAAGTATTTAGAAATTAGTGTTTGCAAAACTGGAGAATTACAGTAAAAGTTAGGGAGGGTTAAGAGAGAAGGCAGGAATCTGGCAGACTTCTACAAAATTAAGATGGCAATAAAAACTAAGGAGATAGCATCTCAAGAAAAATATGGAAGAAAATACAAATTATAGATGAGTGTATAATTATGCAAATATAAAAACATTCTACTCCCAAGTTTACAAATTATGAACATGAAAGAAGAGTAGAATTTACTGCAGACATTTTTGCAATAGTCTGACACCACAAGACATAGCAAAAGATGTCTTCCAAGCAGTAAAGTCTATGAGTTTTCCCTAGAAAAAATACCAGTAACCTCATTACTTCAATGGTTTGCACTATAGCCTTGAAAATACACTTTTATAAGGCAGAACTACCAATTGCACAGCGATAGCATTAGTCACTGAGTAGGAAGAGCTGTGCAACAGCAGAGATTCTCCCTTCATTCTGCATTAGTGCGTGCTACATGAGGCTTTACTGGTGCAAGGGCTACTACCCTTGTGACCTCCTGCACATACAGACAAGGGAGCCCTTTCTTGCACACATGCTCTAGCTCAGAGGCATATAAGCTGCCATTTGTTACCCCAGTCTCCACCAAACTGAAAATAAAGTAGGACATCTGTACTGGAAAACTATTAGCCGATTTCTCATAAAACAAGCAGGCCCTTGTTTCTCAGGGGCTTGCCTGCTTTTGCATTCCTTGAGCCCTCCCTGGCAGGATAGTGCTAAGCACTGCAGTGCCATCTGGAGTTGATAAGGAAACCTCTGTTGATAAGGAAACCTGTTGATTTCAAAACTGGAAGGAACACACAGACACTTAGGTGGTCTTTGATTAATTTTTGTTTTTTAAGATCACAAATCCAAGCTTTTAAAAATGAACACCCATCTTCAGTTTAGAGAAATGTGAGAATGAAATTAGTGATGAAAAACCAGTCACAAAATAGTTGTTTTGGTGACTTGGTATCAAGGTTAATTCAAGATACAACCACAAAAGCTATAAAATGCAAATTATTTCAGGACAACATCTAAAAACCTACATAGTCCCACAAGCTGGGATTATTCTGAGTCTTGTTGACTCTTCAAAAATTCATATGGCAAGAGAGAGAATGAATGCATTCCTCTGCTGCTAAAAATCAATAGGATCTTTGTTTATGAATTAATTTGAAACTCGGGTTTCTGCAGTTAAAATTTGCAGGAAGCTGTATATAACAAGATTCCCATTTTCTCTCATGCCTCTTAGCTGTTCTGACCTTCTTAGTTTTTCCAGTAATGCTCACTGTCTTACTGAGGTGACAAGAAAGAAGATGGGAACATAAGGAGCTTCATAAAGTCTTTTTCCTAAACATGATCTGCTGTCCTAAATTTGTAAAGTTTTTTTTGAGCTCTGTGTAGACAAATGACAGGTCTGCAAAGCAACTGTGGAATACTGCTAATAACATTTTAATTGCTGTTCATTAGAATAATAGATATTGTTTGGGTTTGTTTTTTTTTTCCCCTGGGCAAAAATGCGATTTAAATTCCTTTACATAGAAGCATAAGAGTGTGAACTTCAGAGCTGTCACATGTGTTGGCTGCTGCTGAAATAAATCCAAATGATCCCCTTGATTTCTTACAATCTCTAACTGTAATTCTAAGGACAATTTTTAGACAAAAGAACTGTTTTGCTGCACAGAAGTTCATGCCATGGCGCTCTGAGCACAGGACTGGGGACCTGAATTAAGACCTGAATCCTAATCCTGGCTTTAAGACCGACCAGTGCCGTGACCTTGAGCAAGTAATATATGTGGCTCCATAAAGTGATTGTATCTCCACCATCACAGGATTTGGGGGAGGATTAATTTGTTCATGTCTGCTTAGAAAGATGAAAAGCATTAAGTCCTTTCAGCTGCAGGTTGTTAGGAGTCAGTCAACACCGTGAATGTCAGATAGGAAACAGACATGCCAGGAGCCAGAAAATGTGAATATTAAAGGTGACATGTTTAAAGTCTTTGTTACACTAAGGGGAGCTTTAATTCTGACCCTCACTGGCATGCAGTTCTGGAATGTACACATCTGAAGACTTTTAGGGGTATATACAGCAAATCACTAATCCCTTATTATGATTTTGAAGTTATTGCAGCTGTTGTGTGCCAAAATAAATCTGAAGTTAATTTAAAACCTTGGAGCAAAGGGAAGTGGCACATTAGCTGATCTTACTTTCAGCTATCTAAAAGAAAAAATATCTAAAAGAAAAATAAGAAAAAATACTTTATTTGAAAGTTTGAGACTTTCAGTTAGAAAGCACTGGTACATTTTGCAGAAAAATATTTCTTAAAGAAATACTAAAAACCATTGGTATCTTTTCAGCAAACAAATTCAAAAACATCACTCAGATTTAAACAAGAAAATTAAATCTCAGCAACATAGAAGCACTTCTACTCACCTTGCACTCCTTCCTCAGAACTGCTTATTCACTCTGTAAGCATCTGTGGGTGTTACCTTTATAGTGATTCCCTGCCAGGCAAGCTGCAGCCCATCTGATGCTGTCATTCATGCATCACTCCTTAACTTTGATCCTTTCTTTGGTCTCTCACTTCACTTCCAGAATAAAGCCTCGGTTCTAACCATCAAAGCCACATATATATCATGTCTTGGCTACAGCAGAGATAGTCTCTCTTTCTCTCAGTAGGGCTGCAGCATTCTTTTGATCACTGAAAATCAAAAGCCAACAGAAGTGTAGTAATAACTAGGAAGAAAACATTTCCCATTGAGAACATCCACTGCATAATAATGCCACATACCAGCACCAGAAAAAATATTTTGGATTTTGCAAGATAGGGACCAAAAGTGAATGTGTCACATTGAGCATACACCTTATAAATTTGTCCAAAGCAGGAATCTGTTTCCACCTAAGGACATTTATCCTACTTAGTAGTGTGAAAATGGCAGATGGGTTGCACAGCAAGGAAAGCACAATCCATCTCTTACTCATCTTGTCCTGGGAGAGAGCAAAATGAAAATAAAACATTGATGACTCATGAAGAATTTTTTCAGGAATGGTGGATGTTATTTGAACCCTTTTCTTTAGAGAAGCAAATTAATTTGCTGTGGACGAACACAATGGCAGATATTTCTTTACACAACCACATGCCAAGACTTAGTTTGTACTAAAACTCTCAGCTTTTCAAATGTATTTTGCACTTCTTTAAGTAGATTTTTTCCTAAAATAGTTTTCTGCTCAACTGAATTGTGTAATTTATATAAATGATGTGTGTGTGTGTGTGTGTATAGATGGAAGGAGAGGGAAGGTCAATCTGTGTTCCTACAGCCTGTGCATTTTCTGCCTTATCTATGTATGAAATGGTGCAGCTTCTGTTTGTTTAAAGGTCCTACACTGAAAGAAAAGGCCACCAGCAAGAAAAGCACCTTCCTCCCACAATAGTTTGAGTATTGTGCAACAGAACAGATTGTATCAGTTTAAAAAAAAAAAGTCACATCCCTGATAAAACAGTATCAGAAGCTTGTAGAGATCACGTCTCCCTTCTCTCATTGTTACTCAGCTACTTTTATGTAACAAAATGCCAGCATGGTGATTCTAATCTAATTCAGCTGCACAAGCACGCTGACTGAAAGTCCAGAGGGGTGTTTTTAATCCTCTCCAACACGACCTAATGAGGATGGCAAAACAGGAAGCCCTCGTGCACAGATCCTTCCTCACTATGATGGCAGAGTGGAAGGTGCCATCTGTCATTTCATGCCATTATATTGGAAAGTGCTATCTCCTCTAAACTCCTTGCAGCAGCTGCTCCTGAAGGCTCAGCTCTTTGTCCTGAGCAGGCAGCTGCCTCTGCCACCCCCTTGGGAACAGTTTTGTTTTCACAGAATCAGTCAGGGCTAGAAGTGATCTCAGAGGTCGTCTGGTCCTTCCGCCAGCCGCTGGGATGGATAGGCACTCCTGACAGATGTTCTCCCTGGCAGGCAGAGATTCTGGCTCTCTGAGACCAAACCTAAGCTGCCTTTCCTACATTAGGAGACCTATCAGCTCCTAATGCGTGTAGTGGCAGTTTGATGCCAGTTATTTTTCAACTATGACCATTTATTCAAGCAATATGATTTTGTGAAAATACAAGCTTTTACTTGAGGAATCTGTTGTGAAGATGGCGGCTTTGTCTTTTAGAAACATTCTGTCCTTCAGTTTTATTATCCAGGTTGCATGCTTCCTATTCCACTACCCCCTGTTTAACCTTGCTAAACCACTAACACGAAAATCCATTAAATTCCATGGGTGCAAGACCAAAAAGCATTAAAGATTTAATTTTAAATTAACAAGGCAGCCTGCACCTCTTAGGATCTACTACAGACTTTCTGTAAGGACATGGGCACTGGGTAACACCATTAAGCTGAAACGAAAACAGAATCAGTGCCTACAAAATTAAAGTAATTCAGAGAACGAGAGAATGGGCATGGTGCATTGAGATCTCTTTTCCTTTAGAATAAATGCATCAGTACAAACTCCCTCCTAATTTGCAAAAGAAATTGTAGTGTAAATTTTCATTAGTGGGCACACTTTTTAACAGATGCTTATACTAATAAATGTCTGTGATAATAACGAGATATGCTTGGCTTCTCTAACACCGATTGATGTATTCTGCACGTACACACCTGCATTCAAAAGCACAGAAAAGAGTATTATTCTCTATGAGAAGAAGGAACATTGAAAGCCTCAAACAGTCCTGCATTTGCAACAGAAACAGAAAGGACTTTTTGAATGACTGGCCAGTGATAAGTGAAAAAAAGTCCTATTGTGTAACCACACAAAGCACTGGAGACAAGACAAACCCATTTACATATGAGAACTCAGAGCTCGAGCAAATCCTATAAGAAACTACATGAGACAGAATAAAAGATATGCAAAAAACAGAATTCCTTCTTCCCCACAGAGATTACTGCAAATTTCTACTTCTCTCATTTATCCTTAAGGGTTAATCCTGTATGCAAGCAACTGTGCAATGATGGTCTCCAAAAATATGCCAGAACTCTGTTCTTAAATGTCTTTCCTCTTCTAAAAATGCACACAAATTATACATTGAGTAAGTGCTATATATTCCATTCTCTCTACAGGTTATATGTATGATGCAAGGTATTTAAGGAAATGCTTCTCCAAAGAGCAAGGTTATTTTAAAGATACAAGTCAAGATTGTGTCTGATTTGTACCGTACTAACAGAAGAAAAAGGAATAGCAAGACCCTTGGAAAGAACATAGACATGCTGTGTTCATACAGGACAAAAATCACATGGCAACAGAGCTTTGATATTCTAATGCTATGAGAAATTAATTTTCTCTCTGATTTGATATACTGTTTTTTTCAGCTGATTCTGATAAAATGTCCTTCCCCTATACCAAACTATTTTAATATTTCAATTGTTACCTCTAGTGTAACATAGCATATAAGAAGTAATTTTATTCTACAATACAAACAGCCTTTGATCTTGTTCAGGAGTAATGGAACAAAGGTTAAAATTTGGTCCTGTTTAAGCTGTACTTTACCTGTTCAGAACTTCACTTATTAGCTCACCTCTGCATGCAATGTTTGAATTTTCCAATATCCATAAGCCCTTTCAGTACAAATAATTAGTGCTTTGTTAAAATCAGGATTCAGATAACCAAAGATACTGTAAAGGGTTGAGAGAAAAAAAACCCAACAAAATATACTGTCCCTGTCACACAGGTATTTTCATAACTGAAGTAACAACCTTACTACACTGCCTGCTTGTGAATGATTTAAAAGGTTCTGCTGTTTGACGAGTCAGAAGAGTTTAAGCAAGAGCTGGTAGGGCTCAGACAGGCAACTTTATTGTTTATGACAGTGCCTGGTATCCTGAGCCAAAAGGAGCTCACAAATTCTTACTCATGTGTCTAGCCAGATAATCACAGGGACGTTTCTGACCTGTGGAAGAAATGCTTGTGATTTCTGAAAGTGAGCAGTTAGTACTGCAAGGAGGTTTGAACTGCTAACATGAATTTAAGGCAGTAGTTTGACATAGAACTGAATTCTCTATGCACTAACAATTCCAAACAGTCTGCTTCGGCCACTTAATTCTAACAATCCATTATTTGCATGGGATTTCTCCTCTCATGCTGAACTGAGGGGTTCTGAAAGATTACATTTGCTTGAAGACATCTTAATAAAGTCTTAGCACAAGTGCATTTAAAATCTGGCAAAAATTCAAAGAAACAAAATAGTTACAAGTTTGTATTTTTCGGTAGCAGATGGCTTTGTCTTTTTAACTCGCATACCAACCTTATCTGAAAAATGTAAATTCTACTGCTTAAAAGCACATTCCTCTGAAATCAGATGTGGGCTTCATTACTTAGGGCTGCTTGTTTCCACATTCATTTAATTAAGTTTTGTATATAGAACAGATGAAAGAGAAGGGGACAAAAAACTAAGGGAAGGAGACTTCTGCAGTGAATATTCATCCCCTCCAAAGTTCCTCTGTCATTTAAAACCAAATAGCCAAACTCACTGCTGAGTGAGTCATCTCAGTGAGAGCCCCTTGCTAATCCTCTTCATTCCTTACAAGATGCAGTTGCCCCACAAGCTGCAGGTGCCAGTCCAGCACACATCCAGCTTCACTTAGGCTTTAATCTCTAGAGCACATCTGCGTTCTGTGGGGCCACCTCGGCTCTTCCAGACCACCTCAGCTCAGGTGAGTGTGTCCCTACACGCAGATCCCCCAGGCTCTTTCAGCCATGGCAGAACCCAGCCCTCACAGGAGACCCTGCGTGCTTGTAAAGCTGCCTGCAGAGTTGGAGTGGCCAGGATCATAGAATAAGCAGTTAAGAGGCTTTACTGCATATGGAGCTTGGAAACTCACAGAAAATGTTAAATTCAATAGAAGATTACTTTGCAAATAAGAGGAATCTTAACTAATTTGCTAAGAAAACAAGTTATTTCTTTAGGTCTTGCAGTGTTGTCCAGAGTTAAATGTAGTAACTTCAAATAAACCAAATGTAATGGATGCAAAAATGTATTTCTGTGGAGTTGTTTTCTGAGAAAATGCATGTAGTATATGAAAAGGAATATGAATCTCAAACTGCTTACTGTGGTAATGTATCCTGTACAGGCAGGCATCACAAAAACAGAGTAAATTCTTTCAATGTGGCTGAAGGTCACAAAGCTGTACTTTGGCAAAAAGACCTGTTGTTAGGGTTCCCTTTGGCATGTACCTGATTAATCCTTCCATTTCACATTCCTTCCCAGCAGCCAGCTGAACAGCAGAGTGAGGAAATTAGTTTCCTTTGCCCTCAGAGCAATCTTAAGTCCTCCAGGAAAATGGATGACTTTAGCTAGGCAGATAAATAAAGTCAGAGAAAACATGTTCCTTCCAGTTAAGCAAAAGCATGTACCTGCAACAAATGATTATCACATTAAAAATACATGACAAGTAGCATAACCCCAGTCTCTAAAACAGATCAAAAAAGGACATGAAAAATCCCCCAAGATGCCAGTTAGCAGAACTAATCAAACATGGGATTTTAAAGAAGTTGTGTCCCAGGATCTCAGCATCTCCTTCCAAACTGTGCTGAGCTCCCACCTCCAGAAACTGTAACGTTCCTCCCCACTGTTCTTCCCTTCCAGCATCCCATTGAGTCCTGAAGGCAGCACTTGGGGTTTTCCCAGGGCCTCTTGATGTATCTGCAGTTTTCATCCTCACTCTCAAGAAGATGTGCTGAGACTCACTTCCTTCCCACCTGCCCCACTGGCACCCAGCACTGCAGTGCCCTGGCTACTGCACAGCTGCCAGCAGCTGCAGTGACCACCCAGCTTTTGCCTTCTGGCAGCCAGGTGGCCAAACAGAAGCCAAAGGGGGAGTGACACCTGTGATCCTGCCCAAGGAAGGAGCAGTTAAGTCTCGCCCCTCCTCCAGCTCCAAATCCTTACAAAGTTTCTAAGAACAGAGCAACTTTCCAACTTCTGTCCTGCCAGATCTAGTTTATAGCAAGCAGGCTGACAGAAAATGCCTGGACAGATTTACTGCATACGCTTTGTTTCCTTAGGATGAAAGCTAAATGTGACACAAAACCTTAGGGTTGTAGTAAGTAGTAAGTGGATCAATTATAAACACTGTGGAGGCTTTGCTACTCTTCATTGCATTTAAAATTTTGCAAACTGTCTTATATACAAGAAATTGTAAACATTTTAAAATATCAACTTATTTTAGAAGCCACATAAAATGATTTGGTTACCTATGGCTAGGAACTAAATGAATCACAAATACTATAATAATTTTTGCATAATTCTTCTCCCATTCTTCAAATTTCATGACTACACCAAATACTGTACTAAGTCTCAGCTTTAGCAGGCATATAAGCTATGCATAAACTAAGTGCAATTTTGGCCTTCCTTTATTGGAAAACTCTTTCTTTGAAGCAACATTCATGCTTTTTACAAGTGATTCTAATGATTACCTACTGCAATTCAGTGCATTAAAGCAGTACTTTTTAGCAATACATTCGTAGTGTGTATTTGAATATCTCCTGTATATTAGTATGCAGCTGTTCCACAGTCCTGGAAATAACAAACAGCAATTCTGATTTTAGGAAAAGATCCCTGCTTTGAAGTCAAGCTGCACTAAAGTTAATAGCACTGTCAGTGACTTCACCAGGAGCTGAAGCTGAACCTAAATGCTCATCTGTTATATTAGTCATGCTATCAGCCACCCATTACTTTTTGGCACCCACTTTATCCAAAGTGGGGCACTCCTTCCAGACTCTTCTCTTTTTGTAGACTAAGGAAATTTCCAGGGAACTAAACTGTAATGTAATTATCACTCTGCATAAATATGACTCTGCAGTTGTCATAGCAATGGAATGAGTGTGATATGCTGTTGAAGTAAAAATAAAACTGAAATACAGCTAGTGGAGAACTAACAATTATTTCCAAGTGCTTGACCGCATTTATAGGCCCTTTGGAGAAAGGCCAGTGAAGTCACCCAGGGTAGATTGCCTTCTGAACTGCTGTACTGAGTCTTCCACCTCTGGGCAACAAGAGCCTGATGGTTCTCATTTCCTTGTAAACCTGTCTTTTCCTGGGCCTCCTCATTACTGCATGTGCTATGTGGGACTGGAAAAGTTCCACAGTGCTCACTGGGTAGAGAAGTTTCCAAGAGTTTCTTTCATTATATCCTTAAAAGGTACCCTTAAAAACTTAGCAGTCAAGATGAACTGGGGTTATGGAGCCAAAATGGGAAAGCTGTGTTGGGGTGTGGTTTGGACCATGGGTAGGAAGCCTTTGTAGCAACGTGACTCCGTTCTGTCACGCACACACCGAGCTCGGACTTGGAGCTGCCTGTAGCAACTACTGAGTATTAAAGCTACACTTTCCTACCCAGCACCTCTCTTTCAGAGCAAGTTCCCTACTTTGTACTGTCATAATGTAGTAAAGAGATACAGCTCACAACTGCAACACCAGGTATAGAAATCAGCCTCTGGAACAACTATTTATTGACTCAACAAATTTCTTCTTTTTAAAACCTTCATCTGGCTAGCAAGCCCTTATGGCATTTGAGTTTTCCTTAGGAATACAGACTATAACTTCTCTCCCATACAAGATGGTGTTATTAAAAGGCCTTATAATCCATCCTGGTTTTCAGTCCAAATTTTGTGGAGTGATGCTTTTATTCTTCCTTTGGTACAGGGGATACCAGCCCAGTTTCACGTTGCCCAAATCATAAGCCTGATTAGAAACATAAACAATTTTGCTTTTTAATTTATGTAAGAGAAAGTACCATGAATTTTGCTAAGTCCATTCTCACCACCAAGGCTATTAAGCAATGGCACCATCTAAGGATTTGTAAAACAGAATCATTAGTTTTAGTAGTAGAAACAGGATTTTCTCCTGAATTCAAAACCAAGTAAAATCCAATTAAGACAGAGAAGCAGGAAATTCCATTCCAAATCGAGGTAGGTGGAACCTTTCCCAATGTAATTTAAAAATTGCTTTATTCAGTCCAGGGTGATGACTAGTCCAAGTTTTCTTATGGGAGGGTTGGGAAGGGGGATAGGGTTTGTATTCACTGAAAAGGTAAATTAAAATACACACAACATAAAGTTATGCTAAACATCATGCTTTTTATTTTTGGGGAAAGAGCAAGAAAATAGCAGTACTTCAACAGACTAGAAAAAGCCTCATGTAAACACTAAAAGCACAGCAAATTATACTAAAAGCTTATACATTCTTAAGTCAAAGCATAAAGTTGCATGTAAATATGTGTGTGTATATATAGTTGTACATGTATACACACATAGGCACACAACTTTTAAGTACAGATGTAACTGTCTGAATTATCTGTGTTTTCTTTATCCTTCAGTTTAGTTTTGGGTGAGTGAAGCAATTAGACCAGAATTAAAACATTAAAAAATACCCAACCACTACCACAGACTAGATCAAGAACTTATACACGTACACAATTACAGCACAGTCTTTACTCTTGTGGCCTTTGAATTCCACTAAAATAAGCCAGTTTTAGAGGGAATGCACCCTGGAGGTCCCTTGGCTTTTATCACTGAAACATCCTAGCCTTTGTTAAAAACTAACAGAGGGAGCTACCCCAGAACGTGATCTCCAATTCTTCCTGCAAACTGCATGCATGCCAGACGTGAACCATGCAAAAACCCTTTGAGGTTTAAGCCCTTAATTATTACCTTGTGTCAAGATTCAGGCACTGTGCTTTACAGCAATCTTCAGAATCAAATTTAAGAAATGAAAATCTCATTGGGAGTTGATTTTACTTAAAATAGAGAAGGGTGAAAACTCAGATAGTTGGCAACTCTCAGCTGATTAAGCATTTCACACTATGGATTAATAAAAACTTAACCAAGTGCTTTAATAAGTTCTGAAAACAAAAATAAGTTATATTTCAAAGAACAAGTTAGTATAAAAAGTTTTAACATATGCAAAGTATGTGCTCAAAATACTTATTTTGCATTTTTAAAAAGAGCTGTCATCTACCTTACAGCAACAAAATTCACCCAGTATAAAATATTGCAATTTGTCCCATTGTGTCATATGAGAGGTTTCCTTATTCTTCATATGATCAAGAACACTTGCACAAGAGTTCATGTTATTCCAAGCCACATAGTGGCAGACAGACTATGTTTGAAAATGTGCTTTTACTATGCAGTGCAGTAAAAGCTAAGCAAACCATTTCAGAGCAGCGTTTAGCAGGTCAAAGAGCTACGTTGAGGCAAGAAATCCAGAGAAGAGTATAAAAGTTAATGCCAAGTGGCAGTACCAAGAAAGTGAATTAGATCAACAGAAAAAAAAAAAAAACCCTGCTGATAACATTCACTATCACATGTACAGCTTGTAAGCTAGGAATAAATTAGCTTAAGGAGAAAAAAAATAATTAACTGTGTAAACAATTCATCCAGTACAAAACTGGATGCAGACGGTAAGAGCAGAACTAGCTTAGTAATGCTGAGGATGTGCGTGCATCCAGGTGCCTGTTCAAAATGCATTAATGCCACTGACCCCCCCAAAAAAAAAATCACCTACGGCTATTTACACCACAGCGGAGGCTTCCCTCCCCCCTTACAAAGTTATTACAACTCAGGAAGTCACTGCTGTCTTCTACGATTAAAATTCCAGTTATAAGCTACCAATGTTTCTAAGATGAAAACACCCACTTTCCAAATTAAATTGAAAACTCTTGTCAAGCATGTCTGAGGACTCTTCAAAAGTTAAAGTACAGCACTTTGCTCAAGTGGTATTTGCATGAGTAACTTGTACTGACAGCCTGTTAAAATAAGAGAATTTAACACAACTCGGGGTAGCTGGGTGTTCCTCCTTAGGAAGAGGGATCCATACAAATTCCAGTCGTTCTTGTCGAGGTGTGTTACAGGGAGAGAAGGACAAAAGAACCTTCAGTTCAGTCGGCCTCGAGGGGAATCTTCCTGCTTCTAGAAGTATTCCTCCTCTTCATCAAAAAATCCGTTTTCCAGGGCGTACGAGC